CGGAGCCCGCGGAATCATTCAACGCCCCCTGGCTGATGGGGTGGACAGATCGCCCAGCAAACACGCCAGTGCCTGTGACGTGTGATGTGGGGAAAACACACTACGGTGTCAGGTAAAACTGGGCTGAATCCCAGCTCCACCGATAGCTCTGTGACCCTGGGTAAGTTTCTTAACCTCTCTGTGTCTGAGTTTCCTCATCTGCTCAACAGGATAATCCCAGCTTCACTGGGTTGTCGATGCCCTTGAAGACTGTAGCTTGTGACCCCTGACCCGTCCCAACCCTCTGGTTTTACAGGTCAATAAAATAGCTGTTCAGAGAGGAGCAGCAACGTGCTCGAGGCCACTCACTGGGTCTGTGGTGAGACTGAGGCTGGAGCCTGTTGGCCCAGCAGCCCTGCCCCGCTGACCCAGAGGGGCGCCCCGCTCGGGCGGGAGGCAGCAGCGTGCCGCGGGCTATTTCCAGCTCCGGCCGAGGTGGGGGCTGCAGGGTCAGGGCAGGCAGCGAAGGCTGGGGGCGGAGGGGCCCGGGCTGCAGGCAGCACATGCCAGCACGGGGAGGGGGTGTGTGCATTCTCAGCTGGCGCTGAAGACTGACAGGCACGCCACATGAGGACCCTGGAATCCCAGCTCTGCGTGGCCACAGGCTGGGTCCCGGCCAGGCCCGTGGTGAGCTCGGCTTGGCATTCAAGTTCTTCGCAGCCAGCCCCGAACCCGCCCTTGTAACCCTGGAATCTGCTGACGGACAACCTGTGGTGTGTGCTGGTGGCCCGAAGCCACACGCCAGGGGCTGGAGGGGCCAGTGAGGGAGGGAGTGTGGCGTGCACCTCAGGTGGCTGCCGCAGAGCTCTGGGCAACGGCTGTGCGGGATCCCCGCACACAAAACCCAAGACTAGCCCAACTCTCATCCCTGCTCTCCTCCAACTTTCCCTACAGCCCCGGGGACCACCCCTCCCTCACTCCCTCTGCTGCCACCATCGATGCGCGTTCTAGAAGGTGCCACGCTCTCTGCTCTCCAAGTTGCTACTGGGATTCACACGACTCCCTCTGCTGAATCCCTCACTCCTCGGTGAGGAGGTTCTGTTACTCTCCCTGCTGCGGAGATGCGGAAACGGGGCACAGAGAAGTTAAGTCACTGATCGGAATCCACAAGACAGGAGTGGCAGAGCTGGAAAAGCCCCCGAGCTAGTCTCAGAGCCTACACTCCTAGCCACGCCAGCGCCCTCTACATTCACCCACTGAAAGTGTTCTGAGTGCGTTCTGCAAAGTACCAGCCTCGTGGGATGGGTGGTCACAGCCCTGACGTGACACTGTTCACCTGGGGCCATTCTCTGCTGGCTGTGACAGCCTAGGCCAGCTTGGCCAGGTGCCACCCTCTGTTGCCAGTATCTACACCCCTGCCTGATGTGAGTCTGACCTCAGTCCAGGGGATTGAGGTGGGGTTGCACCTCTGAGCCTCTGTTTTCCCATCTGGCAAATGGGAATGGGTCTCTCCAGGGCTCTCTAAGGGGTCTGATGGGGTGTGGAAGGGCTTTGCACACTGTAGAAAACCCTACCATGCAAGAGGTCATTGCAGCTACTGGAGGCAGCAACAGAACAAAAGATGGGAGAGAGGAGCTAGGGTCAGAGAAGGCTCTGTGGCATCCGACCTGCAGGAGTGAGTTTGCCAGGCAAAGATAGACAGGTGGGCAAGGGGCAGCCCAGACAGAAGGCTTTGCAAATAAAACACAGAGCAAATTCCGCCTGACCCCGCCCCTCCATTGCCCAGCCTGGTGGATTAGGAAAATCACAAAAAACCAGGTCACCAAAGTATGTAGGGACAGGGCTGGAAGGTAAACGGGGGCAGGTCAAGGGAGCTGGGAATACCACTGCCCGATGAGAGGGGCTGCAATCCCACGCTGGGCCAGACAGCTTGGGACAGGCTGGATGCTGGCACCGCTGAGACTCCTGCTACAGGGAGTAGGGTGCCACCGCTCCTCTTGGCTGGTGAGGCTCACAGAGGTGAGGGGGACTTGCCCAAGGTCACCGAGCCAGTAAGTAACTGCTGGAACCTGCACACGAACTCAGTTCTTTGCACTTAATCCCATGGTCACTACACTTAATTCTAGGCAGAGTTGACCTTATGGCCAGTTGCACAGGGCCCTAAGCCTAGAAGGACCCTATGCTGCTGTCACCATCTTGAAATCCTTAATACTTTGTCAACAGGCTCTGCATTTTCACTCTGCTCTGGGCCCCACAAATTACATAGTTAGCCTGATTCTAGGAGATTCTGATGGGCACTGTTAGGTGCAGGTGTGAAGGTCTGTGGATGAACTTGCACTACTCTGGACTTTGCTGGCACTGGACCCTCTGCTTAGTCTTCCTTTTCCCTCCACATTAACCTAACAATTTTCTCTTCTTCTCCAAGTGCAGCTTAACTGTCATCTCCTAGGGATCCTTCCCAGATTTCCCCCCATAGGTTGCATGGACCCTATGCCCATGCCAGGCAGAACCCCAGCTCCCTGTGCTGGGGTCCCATCTCCCAACACTTGAGCAGGATAAAGAGCCTCCCAATGGGTGTGCACAAATGCCCACCTCCCCCGAGGCTGGGGCTCCTCCAGGCCTCCTGGGCACCCCAGAGCTTCCTGCTGGCCAACTTTCCAAAGACAAGCCTAAGGGTACTTTGCAAAGAAGTCTTGCAGAGGAAGTTACTAGATCATGCCAGATAGCAAGTCCCAGACAACAACCCACCTTTTTATTTGCAAGAAAATGGCAAATATTCCTGGGAATACTAGACCTAATAATAAAGCTCAGATAATCCCAGGAGCCTCCTTGGGAACCTCGTACAACTTGGGAAGGAGGGAGCGGAAGGAAAAGGAAGTCTTGAATCTGGGGCTATAATATGGTTAAGAAGCACCCAATTCTGGCTCTGCCACTTCCCGGCTGAGTGGCGTACCCTCTCTGAGCCTCAGTTTCCCCATCTGCAAAGTAGGTATTAATGACCTGTCCCTGAAGGGAGATCATTGGGGGGAGAAAGCATTAACATTGTAAACTCTGGCATCTGACAGCATGGAGCTGAAGCCCAGCTCCAACACTTATGAACAGGTGTCCTTGAGAACCTTACTTACCCTCAATGTGCCTCAGTTTCCCCACTTAGTAACTGTTCAGTAAGGTTTCCTTCTGGGGGGACTGAGAGAGCTCATGTAGGCAATGTGCCAGTCCCCTGGCAGGGAGTCTAATGTAGTTGGTGTACCAAAGCTGGGTGCCACCAACTCCCAGCTCCCCAGGAGTCAACAGGGAAAGTGCAGATGGGGGATGGGACAAGGATGACACAGATGCCACCACCTTGGAGAAGGCAGGAAGGGTCATCTGTGGTGCCCATGATTCCGAGGGCGCCCAGGCCGTAGGAAGCCAGAGTCTCCAGGGCATGAGGAACAGGGACAGGAATGCCCCCAGCACACCCACTCCACCCCGCTTTCTTCCCATGAGAATAATAGCTCCAATTGTTGAAGGCCTGCAGAGTACCAGAAGTTGTTCTCAACAGTCTACATGGACGGTCTCATGACCACCGCACAGGGAGGCAGACGGTGACTGTTCCTGTTTCCAGATGAGGAAGCTGAGGACCAGAGAGGGCAAGGGCTTGTCTGTGGTCAGTAACTGGCTGGCCCTCAAGCCCTGACAAGTCACCCTCCCCAATATATGACAAACAGAGCTCCCAGTGCCCCTAGAAGCTGCCAGAAGCTTTTGGAGGTGAGAAGCCATGGACCCCCGAACTGCTCCTTCCCCTCGTGTGTGCAGCCTCGTGTGTATGTGTGAACACTGTGTGTCTGTGTGTAGTGCAAACACGCAAATTTATGAATGTGTGTGAGCATGCATATGCATGCAAGTGTATCTGTGTGCACCCATGCGGCATGCAGAGGTGATGTCTGTGTTTATGTGTATGTGAGGGAGCATGCATTTGCACGTCCGTGTGCGTATCTGTGCACACACAACCATCGGTGCAAGTGAGTGCGTGCACATCCTGCCAGGCTCTGCCACCCACCCATGGCCTCTGTCTCCCCACACTGCCACTTACTTTTGCATCACCCCCCCAGATTTTCCCCTCTCACCTCTGAACCCTGTCCACTCCGCTGTTACAAGGCTGCCACATCTATTGGGATCTTTCTGCTTCTCCAAAGCACACAGAAGGGACAGGCCCCTGCACCCTGGACCTGGTGTAGGGCCTGACATACAGTAAGTGCTTAATACCAGCTTGGGAAAACGAGCTGGGGGTGGGGGGCTGATGGGAAGAAAGACTTATCCAGTCAATACACTCCTCGCCTGGAGGAGGACCCTGGTGCCATCCCAAAGGGACCCCGAAGGCCAGGCCCGATTCGTGCCTGATCACGCCACAAATGAGTTATGACCCCGGACCAACCAGCAGCCACCGTCACCTTGTAAAAGCCCCCCGCCTTTGCCTTGAGGTGGGACAGGATCCAGCGTTTCGGAGGACACCAATGACACTGCAGCCGCCACCTCCCGCCCCTATCGCAAAGCCAGAGGCGGAGCAGGCCAGGGGTCAGGGGCCCTGCCAGGTGTGTGCCCTGGGCGAGTTATTCTCCGCCACGAGCTCAGCGTCCCACCCGTGCAGTGGCGGTGAGCACAGCAATGACCTCACAGGGCTGTTGTGAAGATGAAAGAGTAACTACTGTTTTCCGCACAGTACCCAGAATGCAATTAAGTGCTCATAATGTCAGAGGATATTATTACTATTATCATTTCCATGTACTAGATCGGCAAGCGGAGGCCCTCAGCAGTGGAGGCAGAGGGCCACCCAAGGCTGCACTGGGAGTGGGAGTTGGTGACAAAATAAAACCGAATGTCAAGTCCTAGGCCAGAGCACCCCCGCTGCCCTCCATGGTGTGGCTTCCTCCCACAGGAGAAGGCCCAGGAAGAAGTGAAAGTGAGTCCCAAGCCCCTTCCCCTCCCCAGCCCTCCAGGCCCCTGTCCCGCACGGGCACCAGTGGGGCCAGCCCGCCACTTACCTGCCAAGGCCTCTGCCAACCGACCAGGACTGGAGGCTGCTCAGAGCGTCAGGAGGAGGAGACGGTGGCCCCTGCAGCCCTGCTATATGGGAACAAGGCCACTGAGTCCTGCGGGAGAGAGGACAGGGGACAGAGGTTAGCTCCAAGCCCTGCCCCTGCAGGCAGCCCCCCACCGCCTTCTCCACCTCCAGGTCCCACCTGTGCAGGCCCCTCGGGCCACCTCCCGCAAGGCCGGGCTGGCCCACCAACGTGGGGCTACCCTGGAAACTGGATGCTGCCTTCCCCGCCCGCATCACGAGCAAAGTTCCTGGCCTTCACTGTCGAGGCCCCGAAACCAGCCCCTGCAGCCGCAGAAGCCACGGGCGGGCAGGCCCACCGCTGCGCTCCGGTCGGTCGGCCCGGCTGCCCAGGCCCCTCGCCGCCCACCTTGGCACACGCCCCTGCCTGCTAGGAGCTCTCCTCCCCATTTCTCTGCCTTTCAAAGCCCCACTGGCCTTTGAGACTCTGCTCAAACTGCTTGTGCAAAAAAGCCCTGTCTGACCCGCCCCGCCTCGCGCTGTTCAGTCCCCCAGCGGGCCCCGAACCTGCCCGCCTGCGCCTCCTCCAGCTCTCTACAGGCCGCGCCCTCTCTGGGCAGAGCCCCTGCACGCCGGGAGCGAGGTCTGGTTTATCGGTCTGTCCTCTGCGCTCATTAGCCAGGGCCGCGGACACTGCCTGATGGACGAATGAACGAATGACGAATGGTGCAGTGAAGGTGTGCAGGGAACAAACCGAACGAAACGGGCCAACTGTCTTGAGTCAGGGAACCCGCTGAGATCCTCACACCTCCCCCTCTCCTCCCTCCACTGGATTCGAGAAGACAGGGGTCAGGTTGGTGAGAGGAAAGAGACTGGGAGAGGTTGATACTTTTCTCTGACATTTTACAAATGAGGAAACTGAGGCCCGGACAGGGGGAGGGTTCCTCGTGCAGCCAGAGGCCAGGCTGGAAGGAGAGCCCGAGTCTCCAGGCCTGTTTGCCGCCCAGAGCTCTTGGGTAGCGGCTGCGTGGCCATCTCCCCCCGGCTCCTGCGTCTGCACACCGTCAGGGGCAAGGCCCGCTGTGAAAGGTGGCATGTGGGCAGAGAAGGGGAGGTGAGGGGAGGCCCCTGGGGGTGGACAAAGTCCACAGGAAAACCCACACTCAGAACAGAGCCACCGGCCCGCTGGCCCTAGATCCCCAGCCTGGAGGCCCAAGACTTGGGGCAGCCAGAGGGGACATTTCAGGGAGCCCCTTCCCATGTCCACTGCTGCCTGGGTCAGAGACACCCCCCACAGCCCGTCCCCACGGGGACCTTTCTAAAACCCCTCCTGGGCCTCCCAGACACTGCTGGTGGGGCACACGCTGGCCCCCGCACCCCACTTTGGAGCACGCCCTGGAAGCGGCTCCTGCCCTGCAGCCCATGCCGTGACCAGCGGCTCGGGTGCTGCAGAACAGCATGCGTGTGCCCCCCGGAGCACGGTGCCACCCCCAGCAGCCCCAGCAGGAGACTCCCCCAGTGGCCATCGTACGGCGCGGCAAACCGGTGCACTGCGAATGAGCGATCTGCCGCGACACCCGCCACGCGGCTGCTTCTGGCAAACACAGTGCTGCCCCACGAAGCCAGACGCAACGGAGCACACGCGCAGGAGATCCGTTTATGCCGATGCAAAGGTCACGAGCAGGCAAAACCACTCCGTGCTTAGAGTAGATGTGGCCTCAGACTCTCCTTCCCATTAGGAGGTGGGGACCCCCGCCCCCGACTCTGGGCCGGCCTCGAGACCCACTTTGACCAACAGGACTCGGCGGAAGTGACATTTTATGAGTTGCACAGACTGGGCCTCAGGAGGTCCTGCCACCCTGGCCGTGGCTGTGTTGACGCACCACGGGCCATGGGAGGGGACGGTCTATCCTACTAGAGGACAGAGGGGAGCTGCCCGGGCCACAGCCAGCACCGACTGCCAGTGTGACAGAGGCCACCTCGACCCTCCCATGCAGCCAACCTCCAGGTGACTGCGGCCTCGTGAACACGAGGAAACCAGGCACAGGGTGCCCAGCCAAAGCGCAGAACTGTGAGATCTAATACACGTGTGCGAAGCCGCTGGGTTTTCGGGAGGTTTGCTGGGCATCAGCGGCCGACAGCTGCCGAGGAGGTCCGGAGAGTCGCTTTCCTTGAGGGGCCAGTGACTGGAGGGCACATGGGGGCGTCCAGGGGGTCTGGAGTGTTCTGTTTCTTGCTCTGCAAGTGGCTATACAAGCGTGTTCACATCGGGACAATCTGTGGAGCTACATGTGTAGGATACACACGCTTTTCTGCACGGATGTAACACTTCGACGGAAGCTTAAAACAAACAAATCCTTCTGTGGCTCTCCACCCAGGCAGTGACAGCCCCTGCCCCACCCTGGCCCTCTGCCTCTCCGGCCCATCCCCTGCCCTGCAGCCCCCCCCCACTCCTCGATGCACCCCCACAGACTGCCTCGCACCTCTGCGCCTGGGATGCCCTTCCCCTTCCTACCACGCGCAAGCCTGTGGCCAGGTGGCACCTCCTCCTGGAAGCCCTCCCTGACCTCCCCAGGCCTTGCCCTGGTGTCCATATTCGCACAGCTCTCTCTGGGGCTGGGTCTTCCCGAGGGCGGAGTGAGTCCTTCTCTCCTGCCGCCCCAGCTTTCAGAGCTCTCCAAGCAGAGGCCCTGTCGGGGTTGGGCAGCACCCCTCTTCCGCTTCCCACAGGGGAAGACCCTCTCTGCCCTACTGTGAGGACCAAAGCAGGCTCTAGGGGATGGAGTCACAGGGGCCTGGCGATCACAAGTCATGAGCCAACACCAGGCAGGGCAATCTCCTCCAGGGGCCCAGGCTTCTCCCACGGGGACCAAGGGTGGGGCTGAATTTGGGGGTGCAGAGAGAGGCTGCTGAGTAGGGGGACTTACAGGGTTCCCTATTTCACAGTAGATGGTGTCACCCATAAAATGTGTGCCACTCCTCCCCTCTTAACGATCCATTAAAATAAAATTGCCAAACCCATGGCACAATGGTACACCCTTTGCCGAAAACATGGCAAACCGGCAGGAAGAGGAAAGGAAGGATGGCCACCCCCGGGGGGGCCGGCCCCGCCAGCGCCCTTCAGTGCACTCGCTGCCTCCACCAGCCTCCAGCAAGGGGCAGGCTGGGGCCCTCCGGTGGGTGACGGGGGCAGGGTCTCCACTGACCCCCAACGCCAGGCCCTTGGCCCTGGGCCTCTGTCCCCCACCTTCGCAGTTCCAGCCCTGTCCTAAATGGGTGTGTGGCCTTTGGGGAGCTCCCTCAGGCCTCAGTCACCCCCCCCCATTGTCATCTAGGAGATCTGGCTTGTTCAACGGTGGCCTCTCCAGAGTCAGTTTCCCCTCCCGAGGGAGGACAGCATCCCCGGCAGGCCCAGCGTCTCTCTCTGCCTCTCTCAGGCTCCCCACCGTGCGGTGACGATGCCCCAGGTAGCAGGCTGACGCGGCCACATCAATCCATCACAGGCAGGCCGCAGCACGCTGTCACCTGCCCACCTCCACCCCAGGCACCCTTCTCTAAGAATGGAAGCTCCTTGTCCAACAGGGAGGCACAGAGAAGCCAGGCAGTGGCCAGGCTGGGACGGGGAAGGACATCGGGGCCCAAGGGACAAGGTCTGTCCTGCAGCAGAGACAGCTCCATGCCCACAAGGGTGCCAGGCAGGTCATCATCCAACTTCAGAGGGAACTCTGGAATAGGTGTGCCTGCCACAGGTGGGCCTGCTGCCCCACGAGGTGGCTGGCAAGGATCCTGTCCCCAGAGCCGTGCACGCGGAGGGGAGCGGCCATGGGGTGCTGTGAGCGCCGTGAGCCTCCGAGCAGAGTGGCACTACTCCGTGTGTGCCACACTCCTCGGGCAAGAGTCACCTGGGCCGACTGGTAAACCCTCAGCTTCCCAGCCTCTCCCCTGAGACTGGAAGTCTGTGGGTCTGGAATGCGGCCCAGAAATTTACATTTTTAATAAGTCCTCCCAGGTGATCCTCTGCATCTGGGAAGTTTGGGGGAGCACTGGCAGATGACCTCCCGAGTCCCTCTGGGCCCGGAGATTAGTGATTCTGAGTGTCCCGCACCACGCCACCCATGCCCCATCTGGAAGGCACCGCCAGGACGGCGGCCTCACTGCGTCATTAAAATAAAAATGATTTAGAGGCTTTAGAAGGGGGGCAAAGATGTCAGGGGGAGGGGTTTTCTCGGCCCACCGTGATACCAGCGGCAGCTCCTTCCTAGCCCCCCTGGGCCCCCTAGAGCCATCCTGAAAAAAGGCTTAGCATTGGGGGCAGGGGGGCTGACAGCTGTTCAGCTGCTGCTCAGTGAGGGCCCGGAAAGCAATTATCTTGCTCTTAGCAGAGAGGAGCTGGCTTTTACCCGCCCCTTCCCTCCCTCCCCTCTCCCTCCCACCCTCTCTCTCTCTCTCTCTCTCTCACACACACACACACACACACACACACACACACACACACACCCCAGGCCAAGATGCTGCGGCTGCTCTGAACCCGCCTCCCCCCACCCCGAGCCCCCCGACTTCTCCCACTCGCTCAACCGCCATCCTCAGAGCACATTCTCGACACTTAAATCATTTAGCCCGCTAAACCGGAGACGGCGAAATGGGTGCTATTTCTTAAAAACATACAGAGAGCGTATTAAATTATTGATAGCCATTAAACAGGGGGAAAAAATTAAACAGCTCTCAGCTCTTATCAATCATTCATGCAGTTTCCACTGGGGTGTTTTCTGGAGAGTGATCACTCCGGCAACCCGGGGAGCCGGCTCCTGCCGGGCACGGAAGGCTGTTGCTGGGTGAAGCGGGAGGGGGCCCCCAGTCCTGGCAATTACTCAGGCAGCACTGCAGAGCGGGGCAGGGGCGGGGGGGCAGGGAGGTCAGCCTCTCTCCACTTGCAAACTCCCACCTCCCTCTTCCATCAACAAAGGGAGACTCCAACACTGCCTTCGGGAACCCCCTTAATTAAATCCAGCCTGCTTTTATTGAGCGCCTACTACATATCAGGCCTGCAGGGTGCACAGATAAACAAGCGTCAGGCTCGGGCAGCCCTTTGCA